AACAGAGGAAGAGGAAGGCCTCCTCTGCGTTGGAAAGACCAGGTGGAGAAGGACTTGGCTTCACTTGGCATTTTCAATTGGCGTCAGTTAGCACAGAAGAGAAATGACTGGCGTGCTGTTTTGGACTCGGCCAAAATCGCTTAGGCGGTTACAGCGCCAAATAAGAAGAAGAAGAGACATTAAAGTTGTTCCCAGTTGTTTTGAAGAAGTTGAGAGCGAATTGGGAAGGGATAAATGAATTCTACCCCTTCATCATCTCTGCAGTTTCTTTAGAATTCGTTTTATGGACAAATCATGACGAAGATCCCGTCAATTTCCCACATTCCACATATGGAGACATGCTTGTCAGATGGTAGTCCTCTCTTCCGACTTCTGAAGCTAAGCGTATGAGGCTCTTATCTACTTCGCGAAAATTTTATGCTCTAACCCCACTGTGCTGCGTTACATGTATGTTTTTCGCCAAATGAGTTCGCCACTTTGTGTTTGCTCGCCCACCTATGCTGCCGGTGCTGTTCAACTTTTGGTGTAAATGTGTTAGTTTCACATACATACATTGCTTTTGCATGTTTTGCCAACTCGCCAGTATTCATTATGCATCTGTTATTCAGTAACCAGCACACAGTGACATTCACTTAACGGCTCTGCGAACTTACATAAAATCCGATGTATGACAAAAGGCACACTGAGGCCTAATGCCGGCGTTAGAGATAACCTTGGTTATTCGGCTTAGTGGGGACTTACGTTCATACATATGCATATGCATTAGGGAGGTCCAAAAATGCATGTGGAAAAAGTAAAGTAGGAATTTGTATGCTCTCACCCCCTAGGATTCTACACCGAAAAAATATGCCCCTATTTTTTTTTTTTTTTTTTATATCACGAATATTTAGAGGTCGCTCAAAGCGCTCAAAGTTTTCCATGCGTCATTTTTGGTTTTTTCATGATAGCGATTCGATATTTTTGAACAGAAAAGTATTTTTTAAACAAACTTAAACATAAATTTGTTTGATCGATCACATAGTGGTGTTGTCTAGAAATTTTAATCAAGAATTAGTTCAGCCCAATAATAAAATTTCAAAAAACGCCACTCTGTTGCTTGTGAAAAGTTTGTTCGGCCGATCACAGAATGGTGTTGTCTAGAAATTTTTACGGAGTATGAATTCATCCCAATAAAAAATTGCCAAACAACGCCACTCTGTAAATAGCAAAAACAAATTTGTACAAATGTACCAGTAGCGCAATTTCGATTGATGCTTCAAAGCGAACATATGAAAGCACACTTAGGCTTTCTGAACATTGGTCGTCCAACCATAGTTGCTTCGTCGTCACAATCATGATGCAACGATGACATGACGACTACACTTTCGCACACTCGGTCGTGATCAGTGGCGGATTTGAATATTTGTCACCCCTAGGTAATTCAGAATTTGCCGCCTTTTTTCCGATAACAAAACTATTTTGAAGTAAAAGTACCAGTTTTGGAACGATTAGCAGTAAATAGTGAT